GATTTATCCTGCTAAGGCTGACACTCGTGTGCCGCCAAGTGTTGGGGTGGCCTGTTTCAGCTGCCAGGGTGAGACCCGAGGTACATGCAGTGTAGGTTTACTTGAAACCCTGAACCGGACCAGATTTCCAGTATTGCCCTGGACCTTGGTGATTAGTGGGCAAAACTGGAAATTTACACCTGACCCCTATACTCAATTATGATACTGCACTAAGTGTTGGATTGGGTTGTCTTTGATATGCTAATCAGTAAGATCCTTAGCGGGGGTCAAAAGCTGGGTATGTTGGGACAGTTTGAAAATTTATCTGAGTGGGTGATCAAAGTGACACGATTAGCCCCTTTGTCGGACAAAGGTAATGATCGGGGATGCACTCTCTCTGATAGAAACCAAGACTGCCGGCAACCGATTTCAATCGTTGAAATGTTTGCAAAAGGTTTTAATTCCCGAGATCCATGTGAGTAGAGAGTGCAACACTGTTCCATGCAGCCGAGGGAGAGGTCCTCTCTTGTCGGGTAGTGTATGATCATTATGGGCTGAGAGGTTAAGTGTAAGACCATTGAGTTGCATTTGCCCACAGTCCCTGGGTTTTTATAAGGTGGCTTGGCCCAGGGACCACTTAGTGTAAGTATTGGGCCCATTAGGAGTCCATGTGATGGGCTCAGGGGGTGCACTGTCCTTAACAGTGTACTCGGCTAGGCCTTGTAACAGAGGCTGGGCTGAACCCATGTGGCTGATGTGTAGATCAATGTTTGGGTTCCACGCCTTACAAAGAAGCCCAATTGGGCAGCAGTTTGGAAGCATACTGAGCACTAAGACTTCATAGGCCTGAAGCCCATTTCGATCTAGGCTGATTTGATCAGTTAAATAAAGGGGCGGATCTGAGATTAGATTAGCAGATAGGATAGGGTCTTACCCTATCATCTCAGGGAGTCCAGATTTGAATATAGATTCAAGTCTAGAAACCTCCTAATGAGATTAGGAGAGGGCTGATCTAATTTGCAGATAAGATAAGAGTCTATCCATATCACTTAAAGGGAATTCAGATCCAAATATGATTTGGATCAGCTACTCCTAATGGGATTAGGAGTTGATCCCTTTAAGGTTATAAAAGGAGGAGAGGGCGGTAGCATCTAAGAAGATCACATCCTCAATTTCAGAGCAAGAGTTACAGAAGAGAGAACATAGCATCTAGTGAGACTGCACTATTTTTTCCTTGCTGCCTCCTTCCTGCCGCCACCATAACTGCCAGTTCGATCTCCTCTTCAAGCAGGAGCGATCAAGATCAGATCTTGATATCAGCCTTTGGGGAAAGGCTGATTTGAAGTTGTGCTCATAGCCTCCAGCAAATTCTTGTAAAGGGTTCGGTTCGTTGGACGAACACTACTGATTCTGCTCCAACATTCACTGTGTCATCTACAGTGGGAGCAGTCTTTGGAGTCTTTCTTTTGGTGTGAACACCTTCGTTGGGAGATACTGTTTCTCCGTATCAGGTATATCCCTCTCCTGCTTCTGGTTTCAGATTTGGTTCGATTTAGGGTTCAAGATTGATCATTGAAAATGCAGATTTTCTAAAACAGGGAATGTGATTCCCATATGAGGGGAGAGGAAATTTTTGAAAATTTTCCCAACCTTCCTACAGGGTTCGGCCATCCATATGATGGATCTCTCATTCCTTCAGTGGTATCAGAGCCATGGTTCAAATCTTGAACCGAATTAAACCAGATCTGAACCTGCGCAAATGGACAGAAGGCATTCTACCCGATTTGCACAGATTAGGGTTTTTTTTCTAGAAAATTGTTTCCCAGATAAAGGGCGATTGATCCGAAATGATTTTTTATAAATCTAGAATTTTATTTAGAATTTTCTTGATTTATGGGCTGTTCGTACAAGTGGAGATCGAAATCTTTTTCTGGCTCGTGACAATCTGCGATTTGTAGTTTCTTGATTTATTTATTACATTTGGTTTGTAAAATATTTTTTTATTTATTTTTAGACTGAATGTATAGGATTCGATCTGATGTAATATTAATAGAAATTTTAGGGTTTCTATTTTATTATTTTTGGATCGAAGATGGTGGCGTAGGAAGGAGATTTCGTAGATGGGAAAATCGCTATCTACGATTTGCAGTTTATGAAACTGCATACTGTGATCTAATCTCTATTTTGTAGAATGGAATGTGCGAACCGCCCTCTTTGACTGATTCTTGTTTTTCTTTAATCAGTATTTAATTTCAGATCAGTTTCTTGGATTAAATCTTTAATTAAAGATCAAACCCTAGACTCATTCGAACCAGATTGGTCCAAACTAGTTGGACCAAATCTAGGGTTCGATCAAGGCTGATGTCAGCCCTAATTTTCCACTGATGGGCCTAAGGATTGATATTTAATTAAGAATTTAATTTGGCCCAACCTGTAAGGCCCAGTTTTAAATTGTTAAAACTGCTAAAAGGCCACAATTGCGATGTGGGCCAAACTGCTTAACCCTAATTCGGCCCATATACCTAGATAATGTTAATTGTTAATGTTATGGATCAAAATGGGCTTTAATTATGAGCCTTACAGATATTTAATTGATTGTATCAATTTATCCCTGCATGTGATGTATGGATGTGCGATGTGCAACGTTCATGGGCCATAA